TTTCTCCTGCATCTCTCCTTTCTCTTGCCCTTCTCCCTTCTCTTGCCCTTCTCCCTTCTCTTGCCCTTCTCCCTTCTCGAGCCCTTCTCCCTTCTCTTCCCCTTCTCCTTGCTCTTGCCTACACCCTTGGCAATGTCCTCATCCCGATCCATGCCTCCCGCATTGTCCATGACCCTTGGTTCAGAAACGTCATTGAAGAACGCAAGAGCAAGAGTTTTTCCTGTGGGACATGCACAACAGAACAACAACCCTTGAACCTCCGAGCAAACGGGCAAATGCACATACAATGATACAGCATAGCGGTGGGTGAATAATAACATGCCTACCTGGACACATCAATAACAACTTCTACCAGTAACGGTGAACGGCACAACACCTCACCTTTTGAACCGAAGTCTGTCAGCTGGTTCGATGTTGAACGGGTCCCGTTGTCCAGCACCCGGCCATTTCCAGATCTGGCGCCGAGATCCTTCACAGCGCGCAACTTGCCCTGATTCCGCGCCCGAACCTCAGCCACCTCTTCATCCTCTTCACTCAAGTCTCTGTCTTCCTCGTCACTGGCCTGACTAGCATCTCCATCAGATTCCTGATCACCCTGTTCCCCGCCTTCCTCACTTTCGGAATCACCCTCCTCAGTTTCAGAATCACCCTCCTCACTTTCAGAATCGCCTTCCTCGCTTTCAGAGTCACCTTCCTCGGATCCGGATTCCTCATCTTCAGACTCCTCATCTACATCTACCCCATCATGCATGTTCGGTGTTTGGCCATTGGTGAAGGTCTTACCATGACTAAAAATTATATCATTATCGTCCTCCTCTCCTGCATCAGATCCCCCACTACATACTTCATTGGGCGCATCATCTTCGGCCAACCTGACCCGTGCCTGCCTTCTTCGTCCCGACCTTCGTGCAGGTGTATTGGGATCGGAAGACTTGTCATTCGTAGGTGCCACCCGTTCATTCCCCTTCTTCTCCTGTCACAACATGCAACGAGATTGCGCATTAAAAAAGCAAGACCAATTCATGGTTGTGACCTCAAGACGATCACACTACCATGACAAGGCATCTCACTGTACCTTTGCCAAATGCAGCGCCTAAGTCCAGCTTGGAACAACCCACACACCATACCGTCACCACATGCCACTAACCAATCATATCCTACATTGGAAATCTACAGAAGGCACATAAGTCAATCTTGCAACATCTCAGTGTTCCACACCACGTGATTTCACACAAATAGTACATGATGTGCAACCTCCCTGTACGTTGGAGTCTTGCTGGGGGCATCCCTGACTCCTTGCAACAAAGTTCAGTAATACAACATAGCATTAGCACATGGTCGCACCGATTGTGTAGCCTCACGCCAACCTGGATAAAGCTTACATCTTGCATTAGCACAAGAAGACAAACATATGGCATCTCATGCAATGTATGCAGCCATCGCCCATCACTCTCGCACTACACACCTGCTTAACTTCCTTTCTGGCTCGCTCGTTGTTCTTGCCAGCCAAGTTCTTGGACCGCTTCAAGTTATCGAGATGGTAGAACGAAAGATAGAACAGAGAAGAGGGGTTGTACTAGCAGCATGCAAGGTACATATAGGAAACCCTAATTTGGGTTGTACTCGCTATAGAGTACCCCACTGCAGGCTAGACAATTACAACATTCTGACACACCCCCATAGCCAAAGTGGGGTGTAATCAGCGCAAATAACCAGTCATAGATCAAGTCCACAAATGCAAGTAAAGCTAGAGGCAGTCACAGAGGGCAAGTGAGGAGGAGGAGAGACTGTGAGGGGCGATCTGCTGCAGACACAACGGGCAACAGGAGCGGCGTGCACAGTGGCTACCGAGCGCACGAGGGCACCGGACTACGGGAGTATCTGGCTCCGCGGCTACGACGAGCACACACAGGAGCAACTGACCCACAGGCAACTGGCGAAGCAGGCTCGCTGGGCTACCGAAACGCGCGAGGGCATCCGGACTACTGGCGCTGCTGGCGTCACGACGGCTACTTCCACGCAACCTCCCCCGACCGTCCCACGCCCCTCTCACACACCCCCTGCTGACACCCTAGCTCCACTTCCACGGCACCCCCCTTAAACCCTAAACCTCGGCTCCCACACATCCACCCCCCTCAGCGGCAGCTGCAGCAGTGGGAGACGGAGGAGGAGGAGGAGCAGGGGACGGCGCACACACACGGCACCCCCAGAGCTGCCACCCCCACACTCCGCACCCCCAAACCCTAAAAACGGGCGGAACGGGGGAAGGAGCGCGGGGGACGGCGAGGGGGACGGCGCTCGGCCCCCAGAACGCGACCACGGGGCAGCGAGGGGCCGCGCGCGGCTCCCCAGGGCGGCGCGACGGGAAATCGGGGCCGCGGGGGGGTCGCGCGCGGCTCCCCAGGGCGGCACGACGGGAAATCGGGGCCGCGGGGGGTCGCGCGCGGCTCCCCAGGGCGGCACGACGGGAAATCGGGGCCGCGGGGGGTCGCGCGCGGCTCCCCAGGGCGGCACGACGGGAAATCGGGGCCGCGGGGGGTCGCGCGCGGCTCCCCAGGGCGGCACGACGGGAAAACGGGGCCGCGGGGGGTCGCGTGCGGCTCCCCAGGGCGACGGGATCGCGGGGCCGCGGGCGACGGGACCGGAGGGCCGCGGGCGACGGGATCGGGGGGCCGCGGGCGTCCCCCACGGTAGGAAACCGCCGTGCGCCTCGGTGCGCACGGCGGGGAGAAAACCGCCGCACGCCCCGAGCGCGCGGCGGGATGAAAATGTGAAGGTCGCGCGCCACGGGGCGCGCGACACAGAGTAGGGCAGCGGAAGCAGCAGTGGGGCCCACAGGCCAGGAGCGTGAACGCTCTGTTACCATATCGAGATGGTAGAACGAAAGATAGAACAGAGAAGAGGGGTTGTACTAGCAGCATGCAAGGTACATATAGGAAACCCTAATTTGGGTTGTACTCGCTATAGAGTACCCCACTGCAGGCTAGACAATTACAACATTCTGACACAAGTCGTGTTCATCCCTGTTGGCTTGCACTTGGGAATCATCCCGGTGATGTTTCTTCTTGACAGCCATTTGTAAATACGGTGGGTATGGAAAAATGCGTGGTGAAAAGGTGAGTCAAACAACACTCAGAGGAGTGTCACGATGGAGGTGGCAGACAACGACGAGGTAATCCAGAACACAGAAGAGCTATGGCACAATGCACTTATGTATTCAAAATCGTGACACTATCTTCTGATGCTGGCGTGGCTTGTGACTATGAAACTTTGCAAAGACCGACAGGTCAGCAGAGGCTCACTCGATACGCGCCAACAGCATGGTTCTCAAAATCGTGCCACGTTGTCGATGCGTGTTACTTTCGTGCAGCACGTTATCTCGGCGCGCGCGGTTCACGTGAAGGGGTTGAACGCACGTCTGAGCTAGAAGGCACACTCCTGAAGGAAGGAGGTGCTTGGAAAACCTTACACAGCAGTGGTTGAGCTTGTAGAATGGGACTGACGTGCTAGACCCCATCAGCAGTGGTGTTAGAAGCATGGGGGTAGTTGTGTTCAGGGCGTATTTGGCCGCAAAAATTCTCTAACCGTTTCCTTGTTTGGCACCTAAAAACAAACCCTCTGCATTATCGATTTTATATCTTTCTTATGAACAACTTAAAAAACTGCACACCTGGTGTGAAAGCCTACAACCATGGAACGGGTCTTGTAGCATGAACTTAGACATCAAAGTGGAGACTTTGATGAGGTTGGGCAAGTTGTCGCCCTTTCTAGTCTTGCTGAAATGTTCGGGCAGCACGTTTTCCCTTTGTTGGAAATTTTACTGCACAGAACTGTGGAACTGTTTTTCTCTTGCCATTGATAGCGAGCTAAAACGAAATACACACACTGGCTCATTAAACTCGGAAACGAAATTCACACACGGACTTAGTAAACTCAAACCGTAGCAACTTCTTTGATCTAACGTGTAAAGCGTTTGGTGGAAATACCCTGCTAGCTACCAATTCCGTGAGATCAATCACCCTACAATTTCCCCACGAGTCTAATAGATACTCAGACCACGCGTATCAAGATAACTCCTGCCAACCAATGCACCTGTCCTAGACTTACAGAACAAGCCAAACCAGTTAGGGACCTCGCTGCTGCATCACGCCGGAACTTGCTAGCTGGTGTGGCACAGCAATGCCAGCACATCGAAGTGGTAGCAATTGCCGCGTGACAGATACTGCCAAACAAATATCTGCGCTTCCACGCGAAATCAGAGCCCGTTTGTCGTGAACCTAGGCACGCGAGCAAGACCTGCCATGAAGCTCCCTGCCACCGCATCCTCGACCGAACCTGAGGCGAGTAAACTGAGGCAGTTCCACACTGTGTGACGCAGCCAGTAGAGGGCCTGGTTGACTCAGCCAGCTCTAAAAACGGAACATAACGACGGGGGGGGGTCAGTTACCCGACTATAGATGCAATCGCGAGACCTGAAAACGGTGAGCAAACATCCGAGTGCGCAAGAGTCATGAACGTTGTGTGTGCAGTACTCATCCCCTCTCACAAAGAGCCTGTAGGTCTCGTGGGGGCGAGGTGGCGTCAAATGTTTGATTTGATGCCTTAGACCTGAGGTTGTTTACTCAGCCCACGGCAACTGCATTTCGTGACATCTCGGCATAGAGGCCACACACGCAACCTCACTAAGCATGGTAATTGTTAAGCATAATACAGCTCTAAATCTCTCTAACAAGAAATAACATAATAGCAGCCGCGAGTTGGCTGTGTCACCATATTGTAAGATATGACTTAGATTATACCTAGGCAGCATTTGCAGGGTCCAATTATTGAACCTCTCTGGCATCTCTCTCGTTCCTGCTACTCTCGTTTCTCTCACCATTTCCAACTCCAATACAGCTCTGCTGCTGCCAATACAGCTTTGCTGCTGCCGCTACAAACGTGTTCTGCAAGCAAACGTGATACTACATGCCATACAGCTTGCTCTTGCACATTTTGCGAAATCACAAAGCATACGCTGCTCCAATAGATCTGGTCATAGGGATGAGGCACTAATGCCTTACACATACCTGCTAGTAACATAACAAACAAACGCTAAACCAAGACCCCTAAGGAGCCCCTTTTCACAAGAAATCTCCACAGTTGTTCAGATCCAAGACCTAAACCCTGCTCCAACTTAACACTACATCTTAATCAAACATGTTTGATTCCCAACAGATACTCAGTGACCGTGATAAACCTCGCAACAAGGTGGACCCCAACTGTGGTAGTCCCTTCCTCCACCATGGTGCGCAGCACACCTGCGCAATAGTACATCATGCAAGAAACATTAGGCAGGTACCAGGTTCTTTTCCATTTGTTTGGAACATTGCATCTAACGGAAAACTTCAGCTTACCACGCTGCATCTCCCTTGGCGTCTGGACATGGCCGCACACCTCACCCACGTCGCCAGCATCCGCAGTGGCTTGGGTAGCGTTGGCATGCACGTCCACAAGTGCAGGCTGGTTTTCTCCGCCTTTTCCCCCAGGATCTGGTCCCATGGTAGCTTCAGCAGCATTCTCGCGGGCAGGTGCGAGTGGTGACAGAGCTGGCTTCGGCTCGGCGGTAGCCTCAGCTCCTCCCGCAAACGGTGCAGCTACTGGTGACGGGGCTGGCTTCAGCTCAGCGGTAGCCTCAGCTCCTCCCGCGAACGGTGCGGCTACTGGTGACGGGGCTGGCTTCGGCTCTGCGGTAGCCTCAGCTCCTCCCGCGAACGGTGCAGCTACTGATGACGGGGCTGGCTTCGGCTCTGCGGTAGCCTCAGCTCCTCCCGCGAACGGTGCAGCTACTGGTGACAGGGCTGGCTTCGGCTCAGCGGTAGCCTCAGCTCCTCCCGCAAACGGTGCGGCTACTGGTGACGGGGCTGGCTTCTGCTCTGCGGTAGCCTCAGCTCCTCCCGCGAACGGTGCAGCTACTGATGACGGGGCTGGCTTCGGCTCTGCGGTAGCCTCAGCTCCTCCCGCGAACGGTGCAGCTACTGGTGACGGGGCTGGCTTCGGCTCAGCGGTAGCCTCAGCTCCTCCCGCGAACGGTGCAGCTACTGGTGACGGGCATGGCTTCGGCTCAGCGGTAGCCTCAGCTCCTCCCGCGAACGGTGCAGCTACTGATGACGGGGCTGGCTTCGGCTCAGCGGTAGCCTCAGCTCCTCCCGCGAACGGTGCAGCTACTGGTGACGGGGCTGGCTTCGGCTCAGAGGTAGCCTCAGCTCCTCCCGCGAATGGTGCAGCTATTGGTGACAGGGCTGGCTTCGGCTCAGCGGTAGCCTCAGCTCCTCCCGCGAACGGTGCAGCTACTGGTGACAGGGCTGACTTCGGCTCAGCGGTAGCTTGCTTTTCGAGCTCTGCGGCTATAGGTGACGGGCCTGGATCCTGCTTAGAAGGCGCTGAAGTCGCATCGGCATCTCCCAATGGATCCGCAGCAACTGGTGACGGGGCGTGCGTCCGCTCCCGGAGCTCCTCGTTCTTCATGTAATCTTCAAGCAGCAGCATTTCACGTTCTTCTTGGTACACTGCCTGAGTGTCGATTTCATATCCACGGTCCTTGTTGATCCTTCTCAACATATCCTGAACGTCTCCACGCCCCGCGCCTCACGCCCTCCGGCCACGGTATGCAGCGCGTTGACAGGATGCGCATGCGGGGTGACGTAGTCCGAGTCTTCTTGCGACTCCATCGGCGGGGGACTATACTCGGCAGGTGAGATCTTCCAAGTACGGGAGTACTACGTGTTTTTCCGCTTCATCTGGCCTACTATAAAAAACGATCTCAAGCACAAGCTGAATACGAAAGAGAACGTGATAGTTCTCAAGAGTCTTGCACTTTATGTCAAGCGGGGTATCTGCCAGGCTGGTGCCGACAGCGTCGGCCATAGAACCCGTAATGGTCAGATAGACCCTATGTTGCTCCAGTTTTCGGCGTGGCGCTTCCGGGCGATGCGCGCGAACAAGGCGCACCGATCGCTATAGTATTCGAGCTGTGCGTGAAAAGAGTTGCGGCTTCGATTCGTGCTGCCATTGCAAGTTCCTAGTACGTGTTGAGGTGTGGGGCTATCGAAATGGACCGCCCGAAGCACCTAATAGCGGTGGTAACCCATGCAGGCAAGTTTTGCGAGCCGCGCTGCAGCCACCACGAGTTGCTGATTATCAATTGATCTGAGTTGGCAAAATTAGGGTTAGGTTACCCGTTACCGGCTCCTATCACACATGCGGAACGGCGACTCGGGGTTGGCGACACTGGGTGTCCTGAACGCACCATCCCAGTAAGGATTGGGCGTTGTTCCCCTATGGCATGGTTTCAATAATACATGGTTATTTTTCACAAACGCACAATTCAGACAGTATAGGTATTCATTCTTTCACCACTGCGTATTCGCTAGGCATCTATAAAGGGTATAGATTTCAGGATTCAAATCCGAAGTTCCCGCAAGTTGTCTTTCCTTATACCTTCCCATGCACTAAGCTGGGCGTAACCCTAACATAATCAGCCACGTCTGGCGTCACCATTCTTATTACGATGCTGCGCGTTTTCCCGCCCCTCCTTTGTAGAGCGGCCTCATTGCACTGTTGGCAGGCCTCGACGATGACACCAAGTACGGTCACGTCTGCCACTTGGTTAGGAGCTCACCACCCTGTACCACATCGCAGTCTCGTCTCGGGGTTCGCCGCGTTTAAAACACAATTATGCGCGCTTTTTACGTCTGGTAGTCGACCCTCCTCCTATTCGATTAGATGGATTGCGCAGAGACCTGTTTCTGTAGCGTCTGCGGCCAATGCTGCGCAAATGCACAAGTGCCGGGCAGGCACCTAGGTGGAAACTCGCCATGCGCGCCATGGCGAGGACGGCGATCACGGCGAGGAGCACCCGACCCTTCGACTCACGGAGGTGTCGGGGTCGTGTATGCCATCCCTGCTCCTACCTACAGGCGCAGCGTTAGACGTAGGGTGGCAGCTGCTGATAACAACACCTCGGCTAGCCTGCAATCGCACCTTCCAGACCCCAAACTCGATGCTGAGATGCCATCACCAGTGTCTGGTGGCGATGGTGAGACGGGCGCTCGAGAGGATATGCCCTCAACCTCCACATCCTCCGAGCCAGAGGAGGAGGGACCGTCGGTACCCACTGCACCGCCTCCAGACTGCGGCGAGAGCACATCTGATCCATCATCTCCCAATGTGAAGATTACCCCAGCGCTTCTCAAGTTGTTGCAGCTCGTGGACGGCATGAATGGAGGTGACGGACTCTCAAAGACGAATACCAACTGACTACTGCAACTCCTCTTGCATCCCGAATTAGCAAAGAATCTCGTTGACGCAAACATTTCCAACTCGCGGGATCTCGAAAGGCTCCATCTCGAGTACGTAGCAAGCACCGGGCGCGGCTACATGACAACCACTATCGTGGTCGAGGGTTGGCCCGATCAGGTCATGCTGCACCGAAACCCACTTCACGTAAGTCGTTTACGTGTCAACCAATGTCTCTATCCACTGCGTCCACTTATCCATTCCCTGCTCTCTCCCTAGCTGCCTTCTCTACCTTCCCTTCTCTCCACTGCTGCCATGTCTCCCTTCCCCGCTCTCTCCCATCGCTGCCATCTCTCCCATCCCTACTCTCTCCCCTGCTGCCATTTCTGGTTTCCCTACTCTCTCCCCTGCTGCCAATGTCTGGTTTATATTCTCTCTCTCCTGCTGCCATGTCTCCCCTCACTGCTCTCTCCCTATGTGCCATATCTCTCTTCCATGCTCCATCCCCTGCTGCCATGTCTCCCTTCCCTGCTCTCTCCCATCGCTGCCATCTCTCCCATCCCTACTCTCTCCCCTGCTGCCAAGTGCGGTTTCCATACTCTCTCCCCTGGTGCCAAGTGCGGTTTCCATACTCTCTCCCCTGCTGCCATGTCTCCCTCTCTTGCTCTCTACCTCGCTGCCGTCTCTCCCTTCCATGCTCACTCCCCTGCTGCCATGTCTCCCATCCGTACTTTCTCCCCTTCTGCTATGGCTCCCTTCCATACTCACTCCCCTGCTGCCATGTATCCATTACCAACTCCACACACTGCAGCCATGTCTGGTTTACATACTCTCTCTCCTGAACGCATTGTCTCCCCTCACTGCTCTCTCCCTAGCTGCCATCTATCCCTTCAATGCTCTCTCCCCTGCTGCCATGTCTGGTTTCCCTACTCTCTCCCCTGCTGCCATGTCTGGTTTCCCTACTCTCTCCCCTGCTGCCATGTCTGGTTTCCCTACTCTCTCCCCTGCTGCGATGTCTCCCCCCCAACGCAAGACACTAATGCCATGTCTGGTTTACATTCTCTCTCTCCTGCTGCCATGTCTCCCCTCACTGTTCTCTCCCTATGTGCCATATCTCCCCTCCATGCTCCATACCCTGCTGCCATGTCTCCCTTCCCTGCTCTCTCCCATCGCTGCCATCTCTCCCATCCCTACTCTCTCCCCTGCTGCCATGTGCGGTTTCCATACTCTCTCCCCTGCTGCCATGTCTCCCTCTCTTGCTCTCTCCCTCGCTGCCGTCTCTCCCTTCCATGCTCACTTCCCTGCTGCCATGTCTCCCATCCGTACTTTCTCCCCTTCTGCTATGGCTCCCTTCCATACTCACTCCCCTGCTGCCATGTATCCATTACCAACTCCACACACTGCAGCCATGTCTGGTTTACATACTCTCTCTCCTGAACGCATTGTCTCCCCTCACTGCTCTCTCCCTAGCTGCCATCTATCCCTTCAATGCTCTCTCCCCTGCTGCCATGTCTGGTTTCCCTACTCTCTCCCCTGCTGCCATGTCTGGTTTCCCTACTCTCTCCCCTGCTGCCATGTCTGGTTTCCCTACTCTCTCCCCTGCTGCGATGTCTCCCCTCCAACGCAAGACACTAATGCCATGTCTGGTTTACATTCTCTCTCTCTTGCTGCCATGTCTCCCCTCACTGTTCTCTCCCTATGTGCCATATCTCCCCTCCATGCTCCATACCCTGCTGCCATGTCTCCCTTCCCTGCTCTCTCCCATCGCTGCCATCTCTCCCATCCCTACTCTCTCCCCTGCTGCCATGTGCGGTTTCCATACTCTCTCCCCTGCTGCCATGTCTCCCTCTCTTGCTCTCTCCCTCGCTGCCGTCTCTCCCTTCCATGCTCACTCCCCTGCTGCCATGTCTCCCATCCGTACTTTCTCCCCTTCTGCTATGGCTCCCTTCCATACTCACTCCCTTCCATGCTCACTCCCCTCACACTGCCGCCGACACCCCTCCACATATCCCTCCAGGTGTGGATCATGGAAGAATGTTGCAATCCACCACTGTCGCACGAGCAACCACCAGTACCTTGCAGCCATAACTCCTCACGGCCTTTCCCCTTCCCCCCTCCGCTGTATCTCTGTCTTGCCAACTGGTGTCAATCAGGGGTTTCCCTGCACGGGCTGCAACCAGCCATATCTCCCTTGACATTTACCTTTCCTCCCCCTATCACCCTAGACCCTGGAATAATCTCCTCCTCCCAAACACGTTGCTCCTTCCCCCCTCCCTCCCTATCTCCCGCTACCCCCCAGGTGGGGAATATCGGGCCAGCACTGGACTCCAAGACCGTCGTGGCTGGTTTGTCGCATGGTGGCTGCGGGGTGTTGACTTTGCAACGCATCTCGTAGCTCCAAGAGGTTGGGATAGGAGCATTCCCATTTGCCGTCTGTGCCATTGTGATTTTGTTTTTGCAGGCGCACACGACCATGGCAATTCCGGCAGCGGAGGGAGAACACTTCTCACGTGTCGCTCATTTTATGAGAGCCGCCCCTGACCCCTACTCAAGGCCATGGTTCTCAGATGTGGCGGTCAAGGGGACAGCACGAGATGGGAGCAATACTGAATGGTATGGAAATCTTTTGCTTCTGTTTCATACCATGGTCGGGGGCTGCAAGAAGGAGTTGGCGTATGTGAAGTACTGGACTAGGACAGGAGAGGATGCGAAAACTGGTTGCACCCGGCTTGCTTGGACTCCCGGGAGATCACTTTATTCTGTGATCGACGCCGACATTATTTATAGGGGGGTGCACGTTATCAAGGCGTTCCATAGCGACACTTTTTTTTTGCTCAACAAGTATCAACTTAGGGGATGAATATGCTATTGCATTGTACATGTACATAACCTTGGGGGCCTCCCAAAGCCACCACGGTAGCATGTGGACGCTTAGACATTGCTAGGAGATCAATGCAAATTTGACGTTGCTGCTAACCGTTTTGATTCAGATTGTGGAATGCATGACAGTTGAATTCAGGTTTACAATAACATTGACGAAATATAATTGTGTTACTAAAACTAAGGCAAATTGTAGTGTAAGATTGGACCATTATTAGACCTTGTAAGGTCCAATCATGGACTACTTAAAGAGTGGTGTTACATAGGTCAATTTGTTGACACGAATTTGAACAGAAATAGCAGCGCGATTTCCGAATGGCTTGGCGAAGTTGGACCACAAATTGACGCGCTTTGGTTGCACCCGCCAATTTCCGGCCAATTTGGCACGAATCGCGGCGAACCCCCCTGAAACATAAATTGCACGTCCCGAACTCCCTCGAAGCCCCACGAGGGTTGTTTGAACTGGTAGTTGTTCTTGCTGCTTGCCTATTTGTACTCCTCCTTCCATAGTGCAATCACTTCTACTCTCTCCATACCCCCTTGGCCTAGGCTTCTAAGCCTAGCCCCTACCTAAATCCTAGCTCCTATTTAAACTACGATTTTGACATGTTATCAGGGCCTTTGATCCTACGGACCAAAAGTTTTATGGGCCCATCAGTCATGCTTGCCATGGCGCCCCTTGTGCTCTCGTCTGTCACGTGCGCTGCCCGTCCGCCCCACGCGCAACCCGAGCCGCCCCGTGCGCAGCCAGTTCCGCCACATGCCAGCCAGCACGGAAACATGTGCATCAGCGCGCGGTTCACGCCAGTGCGTGACCAGACGTAGCAGCGCGCCGTCCCACGCCCGTGCGCGACCAAGCGCCGCAGTGTGCGCCCCACGTCCGCGCGCTACCCATGGCTGGCGTTTCAGTTTTGGGGCTCCCTGACGGGATTTTTTTTTTCCCCGTCAAGTCTGAAGGCACTTTGGCCAGAATATGGCCACTCTCATTGCTCAGTCTCGAGAAAATGCATTGTCTGTCCACTTAGGGTTGGTGGGTTCGATTCAGGGTCGTGGGGTCGGTGTACTGACTGTTGCAAAATGTCGATTTTTTTGGCGTCATTCAAATTTTCGATCACGCGCAAGCCAAAATGTCAAGGCTTACACTAACTTTTGCAGTCACGTAGCGCATGATCGGGTGGCAACAGTGTAATGCTGCAACAGTCAGCGTCGCACCACTGCATATGCGCTGACTGTTGCCTACAAGTCAGCGGACATTTTGACATATCACACTCTGTGTGCACCAATGTTTTGGTGCATTAACCCTCTAAGCACCGAACAGTGCGATACATTACATCTTGCAAGATTTT